AGAGTTAAAGCAAAATTATATAAATGTGTGTGTAATGCGACAAATTTCATATTTTAAATAATTATGTAATAAAAATATTTTTATTATTTTAATATATAATTTGCTACAAAAAATAGTGTGTACAAAATAAACATAAATAAATTATTACAAAGTAAACTTTGTATATATATAGATTGATTGTTAGTAAATATTTGTTTGGTTAGGCTGGAGCTTTTGTAAGAAGTATTATTTGAGTATGTTTATTTTAAAAACATTTTAGAGAAAAGTTAATACAGCATTTGATAAATTTTATGAAGAAATGTTATAGAATATTAAAAATATTTTATATTTTGCTATATTGTTAATAGATTAAATAAAATAAAGTAGTCATCTTTATTAGAATAAATTACATGTTTTAGATGAAAAAATAAATAGGTATTTTTAATTAAAAATAAAAAAATCAATAGAAAAATTAGAGCAAATAAAAAAGATGACTGTGAAATATATATGATCTCCCTAAGATTTTATGAAATTATTTAAGGATAAGGTAAGAATATAAAAGAATTTCATTAAATATTAATTACTAAAAATTATCAATTTTTGCATAAATTTTTATTTATAACCCTAAACCTTAAATACTAAAAATCATAAAAGTTTAAGAATCAAATGTTTGATTTTTGCTTTTGTAGTGAAAAAAAAAAAAAAACTTTTCTATATAAGCTACGTCCAACACCCATTATTTAAAATGACCAATTTTAGATTGCATAATGTCTACACAAAAGAAAATACAAAAAAAAAAGATAAGTAAATTCTTTTTTTGGATAAATAACAAGTAATAATATTAGGAGATTTAATTTATCATGTATTTAACAAGAAAAACATATATCAGATGTTTCAAAAAATAAAAATATTAACTTCAAGTAATAACTATATATAAATATAAAAAATGAGACTAAAAATCCAAAAACAATAAAGTTTGCAAATAGATGCATACTAAATTAAAAGTTACTATTAAGTACATTGGTTTTGATTTCCTCTCAAACAATATTTAAATTCAACACTCAATCTAATAAGCAAATTCATCGCTCATCTTTGAATATTCTATGTAATGTTTTCGTAGAGTATTTTCGAATAATCTTTTTATCATCAACTTAATTTTAATCAATTTTCAATGAAATTACTTAATTTTAATTAATTTTTAATGAAATTAAGTATGCTATTATAATTGTCCTCACTCAAATTAAGATCGTTGATAAATTTAAATCTTTCTCTTCTCAAATTCTGACTTATGTTTTTTAATTTTCAAACTTGCAATTGAATAGAATCCATATCAAGACCAAACTTGCAATTGAATAAAATCCATATCAAGAAACTTATTACCGAATCAAAACTTGCGGCATCAACACTAAAGGAAATCTTGATGTTAAGAGCTCATGTATATTACTTAATATTGTGCATGCTAAATTATTAAAAAAAAAGAAGAGGTAAAATGCATCAATCATTTATGAGTTTTTACAATGTTTCAGTTTATCTTTAAAATTCAACTTTTAAATCCATGATTTTTTAAAAAATGTTTTCAAATTCAATCATTTCGTCAATCACCATTAAAATTAATGCCACATGGTCATTCACATGAATGTTCACGTACGTGGAGCTAAGGTGACCTTCACACGAGTCTAATTTACTCAAAAGTATTATACTTTCCCTAATTAAAAGCCATTGTTGTTTTCTATTCTGTATCCAATTAAACTCTTAAAGTATTGTTTTTGGTTTTTGGCACATTTTAAAGTCTAATTAAATGACCATTATCTTTGTGAAATCAACATCTATATGTGATCAAATATGAAAATTCATATTGATTTGGTGCTTACATGGGTAACATGGCATGCCTCATCAACATCTATATAAAATCTTCTTTTTTTTGTCGCGCATATATTTTTTCTCAACCAATGATAATTTTTATTAATTGAAAGGTCAATTGCAAAGTGTCTCTCCCAGCTTTGGGAAGAAATTAACAGTAGGGATGGCATTTCCCCATATCAACAAAATCCAATGACTCAAAAGTACCTATTACAACCAAGCATGGAAAAGAAAATTTGAGCATTCAACATCCATTTAGCAAGGGAATCTACAAAAAAGTAATCCTCCCTTTATGTGTGATGAAACTGGACCACTCCAATGATATCCCTTACCTCGTCAATCTCAGCGAACACCTTTCTTAAGTTGTCAAGGTCTAGATTCACTGTTACACACAGGTTATAGTCACTTTTGAGTCTGATTCTATAGGAAGTGAATACTTTTTGAACCATGGAGAAGAGGAGAGCTCCTCGAGAGCTATTTCAATAGCTGTTACTTCAGCCACGTTGGAGTCTTGTACACCAAGTGATCCATAGAACAAGGCACGGATATTACCAGTCCAGTCCCCAACACCCCTGCATAGCCCGATGGTCCAGGCTTGCCTCTTGCCGAGCCATCCTTGTTAAACTTTACGGCATCAACTCTTGGGCAGGACCACTGGATGTTTTCTCTTGAATTATTGATCCTATCCCATCCCCTATTCCACTAGGATCAGCCCACCACCCAGTCTCGTTTACCTTTCCATTGCCTTAACTAGCTTTCACCCAACAAAACGACCTCAATTTGATAATAAACTGTATGTTATCTCCATCCCAACCGTTCTCCTCAAACACCGTATTATTCCTGGCTAACCAAAGTGCCCCAAAATGTAGCACCACAGACAGAAACCCAGCTTTACTTGGTAACACCAGAAAAATCAATCCCCTTCCACTGTCTCATCATGTCCTCAGCATCATTAGGACAAACCCATTTCAATCCCCACCATTTAAACACAGAACACCAAACTTTCCAAGAGAAATAACATTCTAATCCTCATATTTTGCCGCGTATATGATATGCAAACATTGACATGATAAAGAAAACGATTATGTACATGGTAATGTGGCAAAAAAAATTAACAGTTTCATTCAAATAATAAGGAGTTGATTAAACAAAATAGTACTTTAAAAGCTTAATTGAGGATAATATAAAAAAATAAAGTAAAAATTTATTAAAAAATTTTAAAAAGTACAAAGATTTTTTAAATATTTTAGTGTGATAAAAAAAATTCACGATTACTCAAAAAAAAAAAAAATATATATATATATATATACACACATTATATATCTATAAATTTTAATTTGAACTTATAAGGAAATTGGAAAGTTAACAAACAATTTTCAAAACAACCCAAACTTAAAATAACCTTATCTTAAAATGCTCCAAATAAAAAAAATAATTTGAATCTAAATTCAATGATGATAGCCTTTATCTGAATCAATTCATTCATAAGAGTTGAAATGAATAAATCTATTCATAAACTATTTAAATGTAACTTGAATAATTTGATTCATTCATTATTGAATCGAGTTCAAATATTGTTAAGTATTTAATTTAAAAATAATTAACAATAAGTGAAAAAATTTAATTTAAATATAAAATTATAAAATATTAAATATTTATTAAATATGAAATAATATCACATTAACAAACCTTCTTCACATGTAGATAAAATAAAAAAAAATTCACGTGATAAATTAAAAAAAAACAATAGAAAATTTTTTAACATGATACCATATTAAATATTTAATTTAAAATCAATAATAATAAATAAAAAAATTCAACTTAAATATAAAATTAAAAAATATTATATATTTACTAAATGTTTGATAACACCACAGTTACAAATATTATCATTATCAGTCCAAGTGCCTAGCAAATCTTACCAAACTTTAAATTTTTATTTATATACAATATATGGATGAAATATAATATTTATTCGCATATCTTTTAAATTTATTTGAGTTTAAGCTTGTTCAGCTCATTTTTCGAGCCAAACTCTAACACAAAACTTAAAATTCAATCGAACTTATCCCAACATAGCTAGGCTCATTTGCCCAAAAAACATAGCTAGGCTCGGCTGAATTGTACACTACCGACCTGACCCCATCAATTAGCCGATTCTACTTATTAAGTTACTTTCATTAGGGTTGTAATTTGAGTCATTGTAATATTAAATTTAAAATTAAATTTGATTCAAAATTTAAAATTTAAAAATTAATTTGAATTTGATTTAGTGTTATATTTTTAATTTGAGTTCGATTCAAAATAAAATTTAAATTATTTAAATTTTATTGATTAAATTTAATTAATATTTAAAAATAAAATTTAATTTTTATATTTAATAAAAATTTAATTATTTATATTCGAATTTAAGTTTAAGTTTTAAATAGTTTATTAATTAAAATAATAATAATATATTAAAATATAAAAATTTGATTAAATTTACAAGTTACTTAATTCTAACATAAAAATATTTAAACTCGACTTAATCGATAAATCAAATTATTCGAATTGAATTTGACTCAATAATAATATAATCAAATTTAAATTTTATTTTAATTAAATCTAAATAACTTAAAAATATTAATCTACCATTTATATCCCTATTATTTGCCGTCCAAACTTGTGCGGCCCATCCTTGTTTTCAGAAGGCCCATCGTGGCCTCGCCTAAGTAAAATTCGTCGACTACACAAAATTGACCTCCAGATAAATATGTGTTTGACTGAGTACTCAATCAATGGTCGACTCCAGAGTCTAGATTATATGCTAAAGTGACTGCTCCTCCGCCGGCAAGACATACCAGAGACAGATGGAAACCTCTAACTTGAAGATGATGACAAGCATGCTTACCCCAACAGTAGGAAATGGAGACCTGTTACCCATCAAAAGATCACTTATGATTGCAACAAAGGAAAAGACAGCCATTGTTCCTCTTCAGGTTTGTAATTGTTACTCAAAAGAGTTTGCTTTAAATCTATATGTATTTTTAGCTACTATTTAAATGTAGATTAACAGAGTTCAAATGGAAAAATAAAAGTGAAAAACTTTAGTTTAAAGTGAAGATCTTTCTGAATCTCCAGTTTCAATTAGATGGTCAATTCACCCAGCTTCCTTCTTTTACCCTTTTTTATACTTACTATTTACTCAAGTTATTAGAAGGATCGAAATGTGATCATTGATGGGTTTTGGCTAGAATTCACATTTGTATATTTGTCTTTTGCGAACCCAAGTATGTGAAATCAGGGCATACCCATTTTCTTTCTTTTTGGGTTATCTGGATGCTTTAGATCTGATCTAAAATGGTAGCTTGAACCGATTAGGATACTGACTTGATACACTTTTTGGGTTATGACCAGTTAATCAGGTTATTTTCATCTTATTGCATTTCCCTTGAAAATGAGGAATGCATATGTCATCTGTGAATGAGTTTACTGTTTAATCTCATAGTTATCCGAAGCTTGATATTATATGTTAAACGTAGCTTAAAACATGATCATTGTATGGCATGTGGCATACCATATTCTAGATGAATAAAATTAGCAAAACTTCTTCAAAAAGTATGGTTATCATTAATCAGTGTGGGTGGGTTACAATTTAAAGTTGACATCTGCATTGTTTAAGTATTTGATGTACAGAAGATGGTGTTACCTGCATACATCACATTGAAGGTGAGCCTGTTGATGTTAGAAACTACCATTTAGATTGTCATTTTCAGTTCTGACTTCTTGTTTGAATCTGTGCTTACGTGATTCCAGTCCTTTTTATCTCCTTATTAGTCATTATTCCTATTTTCATGTTTTTCTAATTTTTCTACTGAAGAAATTGGATGGGCTTATGCCCGCAAACATGGCAAAGGGGGAGATATCAGTATGTTTTCTCTAATTTGATTGATCATCTTGATTACTGGTGGATCATGTGAAATGTGTATTTGCCCATGTTAAGGTTTTGACTGCAAAATCTGTCTGTTAATAGAAGTATGGCTTCTTTTCTTCCATAATTCTTCTTTTCAGGAACCTATTAACTCTGTTTTGAGAAGTGAAACGATAAAGGGACCTCGTATACATAGATAAATTACTTTGAGAACTCTTAAAGTTTACATAGTGCGGTCAGTTGACTATATTTGTGGTTGATTCCAGATATTTTTGTCAATGCATTACCGTGTTATTGCTGTTGATCATTTCTATAATTGATAATAGTATGCGTGAATTCTCAATTATAAATATATGATGAAAATATTGAATTTGAGAATTTGTTGGGCTTTAAAAACTATTGAGAACTGCTGAAGATTAACATTTGCTTTATTCAGACAGAAAACCCCAGTTTGTCGATAGGTTTTAGCCTATTTAGGTGAGTTTTAAAGCAAATAAGGTTGTTGCAGAAGTGCAGACTTGAGAATTCTGTTTGGATTCAAGTTTTGTTGAACTAGAGTGAATCTTGTGAAATCATTAAAAGATAAATAACAGCTTTGCATTTGGCATAAGAGAAATGGAATGACCTGCTTCTGGACATCACTTGGACACATCTCTGAACACATTCTTTTGTCTCTTTTGCAGGTGAAGGGTGAGAAAGGACATAAACCATTGAAAACAAAAGGTTTTGCTGTTTCACGAAGAGATATGATGCAATGTTTAACAGCTGAAGTTGTTGGTCTCACCGTTCTTCCAAAACCTGCTGAAGCTCGTCTTAGTAGACTTGAAATGAGGAAAAAGATCATGGAGAAGCTTGAGGAGCTTAGGGAGAAGGCTGGGCTATCTAAGCCAAAAACTGAGAATGGGATGAAGTCTCCAACTTTGCCACTGCCACCTCCAGAAGGCACAGTTAGATCATTGGTGGAAGCTACCCTTAAGAATATTCCTCCTCCAAATAATGCTTTGTGATATTCTCAGTAACAGGTTTGTTCATGTTGTCCATTTATGTTATTCTAAAAGTAAAATGTAACTTATTACAGTGAAATTATTGGTCATTACATGAAGAGAACGCCTGATGAATTAATGACTAGAATTGTCTTGATATTAAGGGAAAAAAAAAGGACAAGAATTTCCTGGAAAATGAATGTAGATCGAGCTTTGTCTAGAATTCGCTGGTGGAATGGTGGAAGGTCAGTGTCGCAACATCTAACTCCGGTAGTAAAATTCATCAGTTTGAAGTTTGAACCATCAAACAAAACCCATACCAATTGTAAATACCTAAATTCATTTCTTCATAATTATAGAAAACATTCATTCAAATCATGAAAGAGGAATAGTCTCCTGGAACTCAACTCTCTTACATGTGTAAATTACAAAAAAAAAAAAAAAAAGAACAAAGGCAAGTAATTAGTTGACTTTTTTGTCCATGTTATTGACAAGCTGCTTCATTTGAAACCTCCAAAACGAGAAATAAGCCAAACCCAACCCAACCAAAACAAACACCCAAACATGGTCCTGCTCACCACTCTCTGTCTCAGACCTCACCTCCACTATTTCAAACCTCTCTCTCCCTTCACCTTTCCCCATTATGCCCTCTAGCACATGCCCATATAACACATACACCCTACCCTCCTCCCCCACTACAACCGAGGTAGCGAAGCCTTCCTCATCAAGGGCAGTTTTGTCATACACCACACCTTCCCCCCAACTATCATCACTCTTCAAAAACCACAACTTTTGGGCAGAAACAACCAAAACGACGCCGTCTCTTCTTATCGCGATCCCATCAGGCAGTACCAAATCCTGGTTCAGCAAAACTACCCTCGCTGTTCCATCTTCCGCATCGACCTTAAACATCTTGCCCGTATTGTATTGCACCACCAACAAATAACCCTTGCTGACGTAAGCGATTCCGTTGAGCCCGCAATCATTAAACGGGTCGTTTTGATCCATAACAGATGGGTAACGGCTAAAAGCCGGTGATCTAGAAAAGATCGATGCCTCTCCGTTTTCGTTGACTTTCCATATGAAGTTTCCTACCGAATTGGTGACGTAAGCGTTACCTTTGAAGTCGACGGCCACATCGTTGGCTACGTCCCGCCCGCGACCGCTGGAGGAGATGGGGCAATCGGGGTCGGAAGGGAGGATGGATAGGAAGAGGCGGCGGCGGGTGCGGAGGTCGTAGGCGACGAGCGCGTTGAAAGGAGGGAGAGGGGAAACGGAGTGGAGGCAAGCGAGGAGGCGTTTTTTGGTGGAATCTACGGCGAGGCCCAAAACGGTGACGTTTTCCGGGAGGGTTGGGTCGGAAATCAAAGTTTCAACAACGCCTGCATCGGAAACGGAGTGGATCGTACGGTGGCTTATAGAGCCCACGATGAAGTGCTGGGCTGATGGGTCCCAGGCCATGCCTTCCGGGTAGAGGTTGTGCGAGCGGAAATTGATGACGTGGGTATTTCCGGCGTGGGCTAGGCCAATTGAAACGATGATGATTAGAAAAACAAGGCTAGTTTTGATTGGAGGCATGATGGGTGGATCTTTCAGTAGACCGATAGGGGAGAGTCGTTATTTAGTTAGATAAGGGGACTTTGAGTTTCCAACCGATCCGATCAATTTAACCTTTCTAATTTCTATTGTTTTTTACTTTGGGTTTTATGAGTTTCTTGTCAAAAAAGTTTCTCATGATTGCAATTTGGTCTTTCCATTTCTTCCTACCCAAGCCGCAGCTTTTATAATTAAAAACTATTTATGATAAAATATTTGATCTATTGGATAATAAGTACATGGTTTTTTTTTTTTTATTTAACCAAAGAGGCTCGTTTAATACCACCTAATCAACACGGGCACAAGATCTAACTAAATCATCAATATTTTCTTTAATTAATTTTCCTAAACCCTGGGGAAGAACAAGAACTATGGAAAACTTAAAAGTTATCAGAATGTGCCCAAAAACCATGAACATGGCACAAACATTAGTCTCTTTGTATTGATCAGTAGAACACTACCAATCCATGCTTAACAAACAGTTACAGTCTGTTAACACATGAAATAAAGGATCTTTCTCGTGAATAGACTGCATAACCTTTTGAATAGTCAATTGTGAGTCAGACTCAATAACAACGCACCGGTATCCATTTAGCCGATGGTCCAAAGCTAACAGCAGTCTTGTTTGAATGGCGCAAAGTTTAGCTTTTAAGACCTTAAACGAGTGACTTTTGTCAAGTTTTCTGGTAAAACCAAACAACCATTCTCCTTTGTTGTCTCTACAAATGCCCCCGATGGCCAAATCACTCTGTGTGAGAGAGCGCACGATCAACGTCATCTTCATAAAACCCTGAAATTTCTTTTAATCACTATATAATGCAGATAGTCCCTAATTGTCACCAAAATCAATCGAGTAACATTTGAAGGCCACAAAAAATTCTCAACAAAATTGCATTTATTTCCATAACTTCAAATAAGCCAACAAGCAAATTCAAAACACGTACTTATTAAACCACAACATTGGCTTGCTAAAGTTAAAAAGCAGCCAATCCTTCAGAGAAAGTGAACAGAAGTGATCCAAATGATATATATGAATCCATCTTGACCATATAATTTTAGAAAAAAGAACAATCTCTAAGTAGACGCAAAATATTCTCCACATCACCATTATATCTTGGACAACAAGGGGATGAAGTGAAATGCCTGTTGAAACTAATTTCTTTGGTTAATAATCTGTCATGAGCTATTAATTAACCATAGAAAATACTTGACACGAGGAGTGACATTAAGTTTCCATATTTTGTTCCAAGTAAAATGAGATAATGTAGTGTCTGTAGTCAAGGCATAAGCAGTTTTAACTTGAACCAGACCATTAGGTGCAGCTGACCATATGGTCTGATCAGGTGCGTCTAATAATAAGTGGACCAAAGAGAGTCGGTCCATATTTTCGTTTGGTAAAAAATTTACCTCTTCCAGTCCTACTATCTCATATTATCCACCAACTCACTTATCTTGCAATTTTCAATATCAACTGAAATATGAGATACCTAATCTCCAAAATCCCAACTACTAAAAAAAGTTCTTTCTCCATTTTATATATTTGAAATAATTGAGAATTAAATTTAATTATTAAAATTAAAATTTAATATTTTATTAACGAATCATAGAAACTGTATGAGACATTATTTATCCTTGTCAAGAAAACGACCAATATATAAGCCTTCCACGTGTCGCCATAAAAGTCTTCGGTAAAAGATCCTTGACTGACTGTCATATCATCAACGCTTGCCACGTCATCCTCGGCGAGACCCGAGGGAAACCTCCAAAATATCTACCTCCCAAGAAATATCTCCTTCTGGGGCATCCACATTTCACACGTTTGTCATAAAAAAGAAGCAACTGGCTCGTTCCTGAACCTTCCCGAATTACCATCAATGATCAAACCACCAATCCAAGTCGATCAAACAAAATTCCTTTAACTCAGATATTTTCTTCCTCTAAGTTCCATTTCTTTATATACAAACCCCTGCTTGCCCCTTCGTTTTCCATCCTCGCATGTTTGCTTAACGATATTACAACAACACAGAGCTTGGGTTTCCACATTTCAGGAGTGCTCAAATTTTGGGTTTTTATGCCTGTTGGGTGGTGATGATGGAGGCTGAACGGTGCTTTCCATCTTATTATAACGTTCTAGGAGTTAAGGTGGGTGCTTCTTCTGAAGATATCAAGCGTGCTTATCGAAAGCTTGCAATGGTAAGTAGTTCTTTTTCTGCCAGCAACAAACATACGTTTTGTTTTGGGGGCGGTTTTTGGGTGTTGGTGTTGGGTTGACAGCAACTTTCCAACGTTATAAGTTGTCTGAAGGACATAAACTTATGTTCTTTTTGTGTTGTGAATATGGTGGTGCAGCAATGGCACCCGGATAGGTGGACAAGAACACCTTCTCTATTGGGTGAAGCTAAGCGTAAATTCCAGCAAATTCAAGAAGCCTATTCTGGTAAGTAAGTTGACTGAGATCTTTTGCACCCAATATTCCAGTTTAATTTGCCTTCTTGATTTTGTTTTATATGAGCTTGGTTTAATTCCAGTTTGTTGTTTTTTTTCCTCTTCTTTTGGCAGTTTTATCAGACCAGAGGAAGAGAACTGTGTACGATGCAGGCTTATATGATCCTGAAGATGAAGAGGATGAGGTGGCTGTTTTTCCTTTTTGAAAATTTGGTATTCCTTGAAGGCATTCATTTTCACTAGTTTGCTAACAATTGAATGATCAAAGTTATGTTTACAGGGCTTTTCTGATTTTGTAGCTGAAATGATCTCTCTCATGGCCCAAACCAGGAAAGAGGTAACACTTGTTGAATTATAGCTACATACTCAATTTTAATTCAAAATGGAAAAAGAAATGTTATAATTATGTTAAATTATCACCAAAATTAGAATCTGTTCTTTGGGTGGTGCTGGAGAAAAAATCGTTGAAATATTAATCTTCTGTGGTTAGAATCTAAATTTCAGTTTTTGCATGATTAGGAAGTCATTAAAATCATGATCAGTCCTATGACGATATTGTCCTCCTCATCATGAAAGGTTTATTGGCTTCTTATATGATTGATAACTCATCTTTTCGGCTTGCCATAATGCATCAAGCGCCTAGAATGCCCCTGTTTTAATATGTAGTGTGACCACAAGAGGGTGTGGAGCATTCACCTACAATTCTCTTTTTTTATAATTTTTTAATTAATCAGTGACAATAAAAAATTATGTATCACTTAAAGTGTGGCTTTTATTTAATTTTTTTACCCCACAAAATACTAAATTCTAATAAAGTAGGTCATGTTTAATATATAAGATTATTGATAGAAAAGAATGATAATTATTTTATATTATGTTTGATTTGTATTTAAATAAAGGGATAAGATTATAAGGAGAATTAATTATCTTTCTAACATAAAGATGATTCAATCCTCTCAAGTGAAAAAGATTATTTTTAATCCACGAGATTGAACTTATTTGTCTTATTATACTTTAAAAAATTATATTAATAATTTAAATTGTATAAATTTTGAAGAAAACTAATTTTGACTAATAAATAAATTATCTTATCTTAATTTTTTCATATATCAAATATAAGATAATATAATACTATTTAATCTAATGCTAATCATAATATTATCTTATTTTATTTTATTATAATCTTATGCTCCAAATATATCTTGTATTATAGTAATTGTTGGAGATATGCTTCAGAGTGTTTGTGGTACTAAAAGGGTGTAACCTTTTGAAAAATCTAATTACTTGTTCAGTAATTGACTCCCAATTGCCATGTACTAAGATTTCTTCATTTTGCTAAAGTGGCAACTAATGCATGGAGGGAGTTGTGCATAAATGATTTTCTTGTTGAAATTGTTAATAATCTTTTCTATTACTTGTGCTTAGGAGAAAGATTGCAGCCTCGAGGAGTTACAAAAAATGCTCTGGGATATGGCACAAGGATTTCAGTCACCTTCATGCTTTTGTGGATCATTTGAAGATTCTGGGAGCTCTAAGAGAACAAAATGGGATTCAAGTGGGATGAGTGGTAGACACTCACATCTAGGTGCAACAAGGCTCAATATGTATGAAACCAGAACTTACTGAAGTTACCCCTGGCACTTCATTGATCCTCAAAACAGATGAACGGCGGTGAATCCTTTTGAGCTTCTAATTCTTTGGAAAGCAAGCCTAGAATGAATAGGGACGGTCACACTTGTTGGATTCTGTTGACTGACGTCTAGTATTTGGGGTTTGGACTTATAATTTTGCCATGGCATGTTGTTTTTATGAGCGGTTGCATTAGACTGCTTAGGATCGCTACTCTGCATCTGTAAATTTTGCTCATGCTTTTTTGTTATTCACGATGTATATAGATATATATATATATATATAATGTCTTGGAGACAGTTCTCTTCGAGGACAGATTGCCTGTGTCTGTTTCTCTATGCTTCCCTCGACTGCTTTACAGTTTATGTTAAACCTTGAATTAATTTCAGTAAAGTGATTATATTTTGTTATATTTGTCAACTAAATGGAGAATGCACGATGCTTGATCATTTGATTTGAGCACAAGAACACGAATTTTTTTTAATTCAAAAACTGGAGGTTAAATTTTCTTTTGCCAATAGTAGAAGAAATTTGGATTATAACAGTTACTATTGAACTTTAGAGCAGCCTACATAAGCCCAACAAGCCCATTAAACATCACTGGCCAAAAATCTCCACCGACACTTCAATGGAAACAGCCCTTCCATCTATGATCTAACCGATTGGGCTTGTCATTGCCGTCAGCCTCATTAAAGTTTCTTTGTTCCTTATTTTCCCCGGCGTTTGGTTTTTAAAATTTAATCCCCTCGGGGAAAAAGTCATTCTCCTTTGAATTATTTTACTTTGGCAGATTTCAGATAAAGTTATTGATTCAAGATAAGTGGAATATAAGATTATTTAATAATATATTTTATTATTTATTTTTAATTATATTATTAATTGATGTCAGTTAGTAGTACGTGATAAATAATTATATTTAAATTATTTATTTATTTTTTTATTTATTTAACATATTAAATTTATAAATAATTTACATATCAAATTGTTAAATAAATAAATCATTTATAAATAAATAAATAAATTGTTAAATAATTGAATAAATAACTTTTAATTTTTAAATTAAGTAATCTATATATGTTTATTTTTAAAATTAAAAATATTTAAATTGCATAAATTTTAAATTTTTAATTTGTTAATTGAAAGAACTTATGCATAGAAGAAATTCATAAAAAATGCTTCAAAGTTTCACTCAAAATAAAAAAAAAAAAAGGAATTCTAATATGTGATAATGAAGAGTCTAAGATGCTTTACAAATGAAAATATGATAAGCAACATAGAAGTCTCTCAGTTTGAAGTCTCTTAATGGTGAGTTTTACTCTTTCACAAATAATAACATAAACGGGTTATCGTAACAATCGTCATTTATTTGAATGCAACATCATATGTTACAACACATTCATCTTATTAATTTTATTAGATTAATATATTACATTTTTTAAAAAAAAATTAAATATTTAAATTTTATTATTTACATTTAAAATTTTCATTTCCTTTTAGTTTTGGCATAAATAAATTATTTATTTATCTAACATATAAAGTATATTTTATATATTTATTTAACATGTAAATTATTTATTTATTTAATATGTTAAACAACTTATATGTTAAATAAATAAGTAATTTAACATGTAAAAACTCTTTGTTTTATTATTTAAAATATCTTTCTTTTGATAGGATGTTTCGTGTTATAAATTGTTGGCCAAATTTTTTAAATGGGGGTGCTAAAAATGTAATCTCAATTTATTTAATATGTAAATTATTTATTTATTTAATATGTAAGTTATTTATTTGTTTATTTAACATATAAATTATTTTATTTATTTATTTAACGTGTAAAACATCTTTATTTTGTTATATAAAAATTATTTATTTTATTTTATAAAATGAAATAAATATAAAAATCACATTTCCTTTATAATTTTAAGAGAGTAAATAGTATAACATAATGCGAAAAATGTAATAAGTGAGGATAAATAATTTTTTTACTTAAAGTTATTAAAGATCGATATCTAATCATTCAAATTAAAATTTTAACATTTTATTATCATATTATTAAGCAATTGCCTTTTGTCTCCTCCTTTTATTTTCTTTTCTTAACCATTAAGTTCACCTACCCTCATCTCTCTTCTTTAATTTGGTCCCCTCTTTTCACAAGATTAATCTACAAATTCTACGTAGGTTAGGTTTCATTTTAAAGAAACTCTAAGCAAAAAAAAAAAAAAGTTATCTCTCAATTTACCTGTTGAGAAATAGTCCTACTTTTATTACTAATTACAATGGTTTATTACATTCACGAATGAACGTAGTTATGAATGAGAGTGTTAGGTCACTGATTAAAATCTCATAATATTTTTACCTTAAGACCTGGGAAAACCAATAACAATCTTGATTAAAACACATTGCCTTTCATATTTCAAAAAAATTTCTGCCAATGTAACAAAATAAAAATTGCTGCAAATTCCTGATATTTGGTCATAAATGCCAAAAAAGAAAAGAATTTTACGAATTAGGTTGAGTTTTTTTTTTATCTTTATGTTGCTTGTTGCAGTTTTTCAGTAACCTATCCTTTTGTTCTGTTTGGCCTCTGTTTTTATTTATCTGATCAGTAAATTGTCCCATTAGGCCATTACTTCAAATATTCAAGAACTTTTTTTTTTCAAAGAAAATTATAATTTGAAATAATAAAAAAGGTTGTTGATATTAAAATTTAAATTATAGATATATTACATATCATTTTTAAAAATAATTATACAAATTCTTCTTTTAACTCAAGCATTGTCCTTATAGTAGTGTTAGTATTTACCATTGGGGAAAAAAGAAAAAGAAAAAGAAAAAGGAAATAGGGAAGCCTCCAAGAATTATCAATAATGAAAAGTGGATGCCAACATATGAAGTGGAAAGAGAAATTCTGAAAATTAGAAGAATGGAACCTTTTTTTTTTCTTTTAACATATGAAAAAGCAGGAGGAAAGTGGTAATGTGAGGCAAAGGAGGAATTTTGAGATAAAATGATAAGGCAATGGAACATAACATGATGACTGAAGAGGGTGTGAGAGTCCAAAAAAGTGACTCTTCCCACCCTTGAATTGAGGGGCTGAAAATGGCTCGTCTTAGCTGTGACTGACCGCCAAGTCCATCACCTGCCCATGGAATTTTTTGCATTGTTCCTGATTGAAGTAGTTCTCTGGGGAAATTGACAACTGTTTGATTTTTTGTGCTTTCCATCACCGTTTGTTCAAACTTTACATATTCAATTATTTTTTATTTTCATTTATATTGTCCTTTTTCTTTCCTTCAATGCCAACAAACTTTTTTGCTGCTAAATACTTTGCATTTTTTTTTTTTGAATTATACCATGTTTGGTTTATATGAAAAAAAAAAAAAAAAAACTTCTAGAGAATTATGTATCAATTATCGAATTAAATGTTTGGGTGCTATAAAATGAGCTATATACATTATAAAGCAAATTATATTAATATGATATACGTAATTACTTAAATACTTTTGTGATGCAAAGCTGTTGCAATTGAATTACAATTATGTTGTATTGATAGCCATCTCTCACCAACCATGCCTACTGATTGTGACCTCAACGTGTACACATCCCTCTTGGTCAAGAATCAAACAACCTTTTTTTTTTTTTTTTAAGATCAAATCATACAAAACTCAAATCCCCCAAAAATTCATATGCAATCCAAGCCCCGAATCAGTGAACTCTTGACCTCTTTCAACGCTGGTTTCAAGTCCATTTTCAATTTCTTTTTCTTATAAAAAAATGAAAATTTTATTCCTTAAAAAAATAGATGAAATAACAAAAATTAAAAAGAAACCCCACCTCAAGTCACTTTCATGCAAATTGATTAATATTTTTGCAAGCTAGTTTAGCTTGCACTAGATCATTTTTAATTTATTTATTTGATTGGGATCCCACAGATTTATATTTATCTGACTTCAATTATTAGACATTTCTTTCTAATGCACTAATCGTGTGCGCGACATGCAGCATTCCAAAGTAGGCTTATTGTTCATACAACAATAAATGTTGAAGTGCAATCTGCAAAGTTGAATTTTCTTCATTAGCATAGTTAGGCTGTCCAAAATCCTCTCTTTTTATACACCAAAGGCATAACTTTATTATTAGTATACAATTTCCTTATCCTTCACTTTCTACGATAAAAATAAAATCCACACTCAATCTCAAAGAGAGAAAAATTTTAAAAGCATCGAATGCAAGCTTTCATTTGTTTTTATACTTGAGATTTTCAATTGTTAAATAATCTTAATTATTAAAATTAAAAATTCAATACTCTATTAATAATTTATACGATTGTTAACTGTTTTCACTTGAAATTGCCAATAAATAAAGAATATCCATTGCAGCAAGGGGTATTCTATCGAGTAAAGAAAATTTGGTGCTTAATAATATCCTTCTCATCCGCTAATTAAAATCATAATTAATTTAAGAAATACAGGAGTGCATAGTGGTTAGAAGTTAGAAGAACCCATTTTTCTAACAATAGAACGAATAGTGTATATGGTGGTGGGGGCCCTTTATTTTTGGACCATCCCATAATTTCCACATGCAATGGGTTTCCCTTGTTACACATGGTAGCGAACCAGACTTCCTAGTAGAAAAAAGGACCAATAAACAGCCATTAAGAACACGTCTGAATCATTCACTCCATTTTGCCCACTGAAATTCTTTGCTTTGAATTCCAATTTCACCAAAATCCATTTTCACTTTTTAGCCTTTCAAAGTCTTTCATGCACCTAATAACATAACATCACCGCTAGCTCTTATAAACTCCTAATCTCTTCGCCTTCCACAAATTTCCTTCTCTCTCTCTTCTAAGAGGCCAATATTCCTCATCCGATCGAGCGGAAGAAAAGAGTTCCAACAATCGGATACGCCTCGATGTCGATCAAAAAGAACCGTGTCAATCCTCCAATAATAGCAGTAACCATATTCTTTGTAATCGCCACTGTTGCATATCCCATCAACGGCTTGAAAACAAGGAAGCTTGATGAGAGCACTGTACCAGGTGATCAAGGCGTTAAGTGTAACCCATCATGTACACAAAGTCCTCCACCTCCCTCGCCACCGCCACCAAGCCTTCCACTACCATCACCACCTAAAACAAAGAAGCCGCCAAAGCAATATTGTCCACCACCACCACCTAGTCCGCCGTCATTTATATACATAACTGGTCCACCAGGAAGCCTGTACCCTATTGACCAAAATTTTGGTGATGCAAGCCGGAATTTCAAAGTGGGGTTATTTGCTCTGGTTTCTGGATTCTTGGTCCTTCTTGCTTTTTGAATGGGATATTGAATGGGAATTTGGAGGGTCCTATGATCTTGTGCAAGAACTTGGATGTAGTCAGTAAAATTTTATTTTCTTGTTAGGACAAGAAAATTTTTTTTGTCCGAAGAGAAAGTTTTAGGACCTACTACTTTTTGTACTTGCAGTATCTTGATATTGTTCAATAATAACAATTCAGATAATTTTACCCATTCCCTGAATTTCAATTGTTATTTCATTTTCTTTCTGAAACAAAATATAAATTTGCCAAAGTTAGAACAGTAAGGGGTCGGATAGTTCTGGGTTCGAGCTTTGAAGAATTAGTTGATAGATTTAGATAATAATTTTGAGGGAATTGTGGATGGATGATGCAATCAGATCAGAAGCAGGGCCACCGGCGGCTAGAGTCTCCACAGCCGACCATAATTAAAAACATTGAGGCCCACTGGTAGCTGGTCACGACACTCTTAGGTTCGTCTTTAGTTGGACATGTGGCTTGGTCATGTTTCATGGGCTCCTACTCTTTTTCAATCATCTCCGTTAAAAGCTTAACCCATCACCAATATGAATAATATTTGTTGAATAATTCACAAGTTGGTTCAGTTGCTTCAGATAAAAACTTCTTTCCCTTATCAATAAAGAGTGTACTTTTGTCGGAAATATTTTATGAATAAATTTTTAAAAAGCATCATATTGATATAAGAGAGTATATCATATTTGAAAACTATTGACTTTGTGAATAAAAAGGTCAATTGAATAAAGTTTCTTTTGGTAATTGATTTCTTCATTTGATTTTAATTTCATTTTTTTATATAAAACAACTTTTTAAAATCTCACGAGCCAAGACACTTTTCTAAGAATTTTAAAAAATTATTTCTTTGTCTCAAAAATATTTAATTTAGAGTGCCTTTTGGCACATAGATAATATTAGGTAAGAACTCTTCTCATTTTATTGCATTATTATTTTTCATTGAATCCGCGAGCTAAATACAACTATATTTTGTTTCTTAAAATTTAAAAAATTAAAAGCATGGATAAAACTAAGAGGTCGATGAAAGCTGTTCTTTTCAAAATTTTATTATATTTATTATGTAAAATTTAATTTCAAATAAATTTAAACAAATAAAAAATTATAATTTTATCCTTTCAAAGATTAAATATAAAATTTTCACCCCTGAGCTGAAAATTCAGATTTTGTTACTATTAAAAGGTTGCTTAAACAAAAAGGTTAAATGCTTACACATGAAGGTGTAATCGTATCAACTAAAAGCAAAAGTGAAAGTGAAACAAAAGAGAAGATTCTAACCATAAGATGTGATTTAGTACGTGATACTAATGTGTCAGAGTAAGAGTGGTTGTGAGTGGAAGTGGATGAGATCAACTTCGATGTTATCACCAAATGATGATCCCACTTTAGTACTTGGAATTTAGTATGTGGACGCAGCATCATGCCGATGGTTGGTCACGACTCATCATGGGCGTGAGCTGCTGAATAAAAAGTGTTAACCCGAAACTTTCCATTTCTCCATAATGGACTCCTATCTACACTCACTTGCCATGTTTGATATTACTACTATTTTTTATTGGACCAACATTTTGATATTAGGACATCAATTAATCATCTTCATTTTTTTTACCAAAAATATCTGATTAGTTAGAATCATTTTTTTAAACACTTAATGTTAAAATTAGAATCATTTTTTTGAATATTTAATGTTCAAAATTTAAAAAATGGATGTTAAATTACAAGATGAAAAAAAAAGTTACTTCAAATTATATATGTGAAATTTTTTTTTTGTGAATTATTTAAATCTAATGATATAAACATAGACATATATATATATTTATATATCAATCTTCATTACTTGAAGAGAAAGGCATTCGACAAGTACGTGATCATCAACTTGATCGCTTAAATTCAAAGAATTATGAAGGGTGAAATTTGGTACCAAACCAAACTAGTTATTCTTGAAATAATAATTTCAACAAGGAAAAGAAAAAAAGAAAAAAAAATGTTTAACTATGGGTATTGACAGTTAGGAGGAAATCTTACAAATTTTATATCGAAGAAGGTAAAGCCATCCACTTTCCTTCTGATCCCTTAGCAAATGGGGCATACCCCAAAACTTTTGTGGTCCTCCGTAGCTAAGGAACTAGTCATTTATTTAAAAAATAAAACTTTAAATTATAAAGGCAAGTGGTCCACTTCTCTCTTATGTATGTTTTACAAAAAGCCCAATTCAAAAAAAAAAAAAAACCCAATAAATTAAATTTTTAAAAAATTCTTCAAAAATTGAAATTCATCATATGTGAATCTGACCTAACTTTATATTAATTTTTGTTTTATTTATTTTATAAATTGATTTCTTATATTAAATGTAAACATATTATACTAATGTTATATTTATTAAAAATTATTTGATTGCATTATAATTTCGACTTGTGAACGTAACTCTCATATAAAAATTTCTTTCAATAGAACAAAATCATCACAACATCATCTTATCTTTTTCCTCTTTTGCCCTTTTGTACTCTTCAAATTTCTTGTATAAATACTTAAACGTAGGAATATGGTGAGCTAACTTTACTGTAAATCTTATAATTAACGAATCAAATCGTGTTGAAGTGTTTTGTAGTGGCCGGCATAGATTAATTTGTCAATGTCATGCATCAACTAGGTTCACAAACCTATGAAACAATAAGCTGTTGCTTATGCATTTGCTTTCAAAGGCAATAGGGAAAAAATCAACGTGCTATTTGAGCAAAATTGTTGTTTTATTCGGCAATTTTTGGATAAACTCCCTTTACTCAATTGATTTCTTCCGTCATGCCACTTTGAACCAAGTGACATTTCCATTACATCAAGTTCAAATAATTAATGCTTTTGAAATTTCAGATAAAATTCAAAATGAAATATTTATCTTTGAAAACCATGATCGTACATAATCAACAATTTAATTAGTTAGGTAAGTGAATTGACTTGTCAGTCCTATAACTATCATCCCAAAAAATAAGTTTTCCTATTTGTTGAAAATGTGACTAAAGTCTTATTATTATAATACAAGATTTATTTTGATAGGTTTATATTATTACTGTCATAACGTTTAGATCCGGAGATCTATCGCTAGACATTGACTTTAAGGAGTCGCCACCAATCTTTTTTGTTTAGGTGCGATTGGTCACCTATAGAATATGTCCTTTCAGGAAACACCTAAGCTTAAAGATCCCTAAAAAAATAGGTTCAAGTCTGCTAACCAGAACAGAGTTCCGGAGTTCGGTTACGTGTGAGGAAGGTTATAGCACCCTCACAACGCCCATCAAAAGATGGTACCAGCATAATTTTGTGTTATCCAATAAGCCTTAAAATTTTACCAAGTAATTAGTTATTGGAAATTATTCTCAATTGACTCTAATACTTTTAGCAGAAAATTAAGAAAATTCCCTCACTTCAGGAGTATGCAAGAAAAACTACTGTTTCACTTGCAGAGGCTCCATCGTCGGATTATTTAAAGAAAAAAACAAAATCAAAATTAAGATAGAAAGGAAGGAAAGAATGATTTTTTTTTGTAAGGAAAATTGATACTTTCAACTTTTCCCTAAAAATATTTTTTTGGAAATTTTGATTTTCAAGGAAAATTGATACTTTCAACTTTTCCCTAAAAATATTTTTTGAAATTTATTTCTGAGGAAAATTGAAACTTTCAACTCTTCCCCAAAAATATTTTTTTGAAAATTTATTTCTAAGGAAAATTGATACTTTCAACTTTTCCCTAAAAATATTTTTTTTTGGAAATTTATTTTTCTTTTCCCCAAAAATATTTTTTGGAAATTTATTTCTAAGGAAAATTGATACTTTCAACTTTTCCCTAAAAATATTTTTTTTTTTGGAATTTTTTATTTTTATTTAAAGAAAATAAAATAATAAAAAATAAATAAAAAGAATATTACATAAACCTAATCTAATAAATAAAAAATAAAATAAACAAATAAACAAAGAAAAAAAATTCAAAGAAAGAAAAAAAAAAAAAAAAAACCTGGAGCGACTCGGATCGCGGCTCGGCTCAAGGAAGAGAAAACGACTCGGGGGGAGCGGCTTGGCGGCTTGGCTCGGCTCGGCTCGGAGGGGGCTGGCACGCGCGGGTCAGAAAGCGGGTCGACGCCCGGGTCGGGTCGGTTTCGGCAAAACGCGTGGATCCTCTGGGTTACTTAAGGCCAAAACGACGTCGTTTTTGGAAGGTATAAAAGGCAATCCCCTTCGTTTTTTCGGCAGAACGCTCCTTCCTCTCTCTCTCTTCTTCCCTTTTTCTCTCTTTTCTCTCTAAAAACTGAAGAACACCGGTGCCGGATTCTGGAAAATATCGTCGGATTCTGGAAAATATCGTCGGAAGATCGCCGGTTTCTGGGATTCTTCGCCGAAAACTAGGTTGGTCGCCGAAAACTTCAAGGTTGGCCGGAATTTTCATCGAAAAATTCAAACTTCGCCGGAATTTTCGCCGGAATCTGGAAATTTCCCAGAAATTTTCAGAAAAAATTTTCGCCAAAAATTTCTAAAAAAAATTTTCTCACTCCCAGAATACTCCTAAACTTTTTCTAGCTTCCTATACGCCTCCTTTTCTCTCAAATCAGTAGCTTTGCTTACTGTTTTCTGTGTGTTTCATTCTGTTCTAGGAGGTGCTTTATATAGGGATTGATCAGAAGTTTCTGATCAATCCCAATTCCTCTTTGGACGGGAATTCAATCTTTGAATCCAGTCTGGACTCTTCTGATTGAATTCCCACTCCCAGTGGGATTCTTCAACTTTCAATCCTAGCCCTCCAAAATAAAAATCAAAATAAAAAAAAACTAGATAATTAGAAAAGATAAATCAAAAGATATTATAGGATAAAAATAATAATAATAAAAATATCAGATATATAATTAGATAAGTAAAAATACAAAAATAAATAAAATAAAAAAGATAAAAAATATATATATACATATTAGTAATAATACATAAATAATAAAATACACATAAATATTAACAAAAATTAAATAAATAAATATATACATATATTAATACATAATAATAATAATAAAAATAAATAATACAATACATAAAATACAAAAGAAGAAGAAAAAAAAATACAAGATAAAATTGAATTGGGCTTACCCATTTAGGTCAGGCCCAATTGATCTGAGTCTGGACTCAATTGGGTGTCTACAATTACTTTAAATAACATTTGACAAATTTAAAATTTAAATCTCAATACCTTTATTTTTTTTTTTTATCTCCAAATTACAATCTCTTTTACGAAAAAAATAACTAAAGAATTTCAAACCGAATTGCTCGTGGGAGGCCACCTTGGCATGGGTAATGTAAGAAAGCTAAATATGATCAAATACGAATGATACAAAAAATAAAGGTCAAATACAAATTTATATTACATTAGAGCATAAAATTTAATAATTGAATTATTTAACACAATATGAACTGTATAAAAAAGTATGAAATTAGGATCTAAAATTAAATTAATTTTACATCAAAATAAATAGATTTTTTAAAAATATATATTATACTATTTATAATTAAGGTCTCCCACATTCAACCCTCAACATATTTCTATGTAATATTCTTTTAAATAGTTATTGCACAAATAATCAAGGAAGCAAAATTTGTATTTTAAGTTGTTGAAAATTAAAAAAAAAAAATGAAGAGAATAAATGGTCAAATTAACAATTAATTTATCTAAGAATATTTAATGTTGAAATCATTGATATATATATATATATATATAAGTTTGCTAAAACTTTTCCATGATTTGAACATGACCATGTTATTGAGAAACTAGAAAATGGTAGGAGGATCAATTAAAGTAGGCATGCATACGATATCTTTAGTGTGAACCACACAGTATGGTTGGTCGATAATAATAGAGCAGATGCACAACAGCCTGTACATTAATACGTGTTGAGCCAAAAAGAAAATAATAATGCAATTTTATATTTATATCTATATAGAGAGAGAGGCTATACCCCTGTCCCTTAAATTTCTATAAATGGGCAAAACAGATTTGGCATCCTTCATTTTTCCTATATATACTTCTTGGAGGGTTTTACTTTAAATTTAAATGAATTATTCAATACGAAAAAGGATAGAAATTAAAATGACTATATATAATACAAGTATAATTTGCTAGTTACTTTTTTTTTATTTGTTTTTTATAAAGTAGGCCAAAGCCTAAAGAAAATTACGAAAAGAGAATTTGCAATTGTTGAGGATTCAACGTTAATCTTGCAGGAATCCACCTCTTAAAAGAGGTGGATGAACTATCTAGACTAAGCCCCAAATATATATATTTTAATTTGTTGCTACCTTAGTTACTTATTTGTTTAGGATAATAAGTGGCAGGTATCATCTTTTAAATGAAAAAGAGAATCCAAAATAATTGATGTGTTAAGTTGGTAAAATATTAAAGTTTTAGTTTTAATAACCAAAGATATAATCCCATATAATTTCAAGTATAAAAAAAAATAAATTTATTTTATTAAAAAAGAATAAAGGAAAGAAAAAGGAGGAATTATTATTCTAATTTATAATAATAATAAATAAATAAATTCTATTTATAAATAATAATACCAATAGTTAGAAGATTTATTGATAAAATATTAAAATTTTAATTTTAATAATTAATGTTTAACTCCTCACAACCTCAAATATAAAAAATATTACAATTACAAATGTTAAATTCCAATCACCTTTTGACCTAATGGTAACCTAGCTTGTAATTAATCCAACATTTTGAAGTTCAAGCCCCTCCTCTCCCCCAAAGAAATAGCAAAAAGAAAAAGAAGAACCTAAAAAAAAGACTAGAGTAGTGTTGCCTAAAATAATGGGAGGATTTAATTGAGCTTAAATGTTAGGTCTGTGTTTGGACCCAGGAATCTTTTTGTCAAAATCAAAGGTTGATGATAGACTTGAAAGAAATAGAAGAAGGGTGTACATATATGTTTGATGTTTTTTTATATTATGGGTTTGGAATCATTGTTGTTAGCTATGACAACTACCGCACCACAAGTTAAAACAAGTGATTAAAGTGCGTTAGAAGCCAAAAAATAAAGCTGATAACCCTTAGTCCACTGACACAATGAAATTTATAAGATAAGATCACCAAATCCAATCCCTTAGGCTCTAACAAGATCAGGTTTAGCCGTTTAGGTTCCTTTTTGGGACCCAAATTTATTCGTACAAATATTTTTTAAAGCCTTAAAAGAAACCCAATTTTTTTTATGTAGCCAATGAGATAAATAGATGTAATTAATGAGATTTGATGTTGGAACAACATCGGGATTAAGTAGGCTCCTTTTGATAAAAAAAAAAAAATCCAACTTTGTATGTAGCCAATGAGACGAGTAGATGTAAAGAGTTTTTGATGTTGGGTTTTGGCATGAACGGCAATTTCACCCAAACTCCACACTTTACAGCTCTTCTTTTTGTAATATTTCTTTCTTGCGTGAGGGATGAGTTTAAATCAGACTTCCGAAGCAAGAAAAAAATGTCATGAAATTTGGATGCTTGAATTTGCAATCTTTTTGCCACTTATCTCCTTCAATGATTTATTCCCTTTCCACAATCTTGAAATTTCAAAGTTTATAGCAGGTGGGTTAGGTTCATTTTGGACTAACATTTGTACAAAATCCATTTCTTAAACTGAAGTTTTAATCGATTATAAGCCCATGATACATTTGGTTAGGTGTAACTATGCAGGACGTCTAATGCTCAGAAGGATGACTAATTCTACTTTAATCATCTACTATAATTTTATTTTCTGCAATTTTCTGTCGTCTTTTAACAACCACAATCCTCCAAAAGAGAAAAAAAAAAAAAAAAAGCATTAAAGTGCTGTTCCAATCATCCCTAGCCATGGCCTCATTTTGGGGAAATGTTCAATATGGGTAGGTATGAAATATTTTTCATTCATCATCACTACTCACTAGCCATGTTTCATTAATATTTTTATATAAAAAATTTTAAGTAAAAGGAGATATTTTATTTTATGACGAAAATATACTTCATTCAATAACAATTTATATTAAATTTAAAGATGATTTATTAAAAATAATTAATAATTAAAATTAAACTTAAATTTTATAAATAAAATATCCCATCGATATTTCACCAAGAAAGAAATATATACATATTTCTTTCGACCATTCATACTATGATAACTACATCTAACTCGTGAACCTTTGATTCAATTATAAATAAATTTCTTTGCAATAAAAAAGGCAGGAAGAAGATAAAATTTCTTGAATGAAGAAATGCTTGGGGATGCATGTGATGTGAGTGGTTGATTAATGCTTTGAAAGCATTGTTTTGGGAATATGAATCCCGAAAACAGAGCATAATTTCCTATATTATTAGCTAATAGTCTGTTTTTTAAGTACTCTAGTATCGTGGTGAGGTGTAGGCCAGTCATAAACGCCAATTCGCCATCAAAAGCTGAACTTTTTTTGAGCTCTTCAAAAAGTTCAGTATGTCTTTTGGATATTCAGACACATAACACAATTTCCAACTAATGCATGCAAGGGTTCTGCCTTAAAACCTCAAATTTTAAAAAAAAATTAAAAAAGTTATATTTCTTAAATTTTACTCTCCTTCGGCAAGAAGATCTCCACTTCATTTATTGAGGAATTTTTTTTTTTTTAGATATTGAAGAATATTACACATGGTTAATCTGTTTTGAGGGCATTCATTTTCAATATATATAAAAAATTAACAAATTTATATGTTTTATCAAAGAAAAAATGTAAAATATTTTTTAAGTGTTCAAAGAAATTTCTTTCAAAATATTCTTATTTTTTTTAATTTTTTAAGGTGTTCATACTGTCCCAGTTAGATCTGTTTTTGGTTGTTAGATTAATCAAATTCTTCAAACCCTTTACAAGAACCCACCTCTCTGCAGACACTTTGACCTCATTTCCCTTGATCGTTATTGACATAACCAGAATTTGATGCCATACAGAAAATTTATGTATAAAAAAATTTATAGCAGGAAAAAAAAACTGAAACAAAAGAAAAAAAAAAAAAAGAAAACTTTTTCAAATCGAAGCCTGAAGACCATATTGTCTTCTCTGAGACAAGAAACTTCCCTCCCCAAAAAAATCGAAATAAATAAACAAAAAATCAGTAGGTTTCCCATGTGCAATTTTCAACAACCCTTTCTAAAGTTACCTCATAGCATAGCCTTCATTGCCAAGTTTCAAAGCCTCGGGTCCCAAATGTGACGCTTTTTTTTTTTCCCCCCCCTTTTCGCTTTCAACGGCTAAAAGGATTTTTGAACAGCCAAAAAGTGGTTATCTTTGATCAACTTAAAATAAGAAACAGTAAGTAGCTAGGCCTTGCTTTTCAATCCTTTAATTCCTTTTGGCTGTTTATTTCCTACTTTGAGACTTTACCATAAAAAACCATCCAAATTCTTTGAACCAAGGGAGTTTAATTTCATCCCACATATATGATCACTATTTCCTAGCTACTTTTCTTTCCTTCACTGAACTCTACCTTCTCCATCTTTCCTTCTTTTCCCATTTCTTCCTTGTATAACATGGCCAACACAGTTAACAAAGCTCTCACTTCCTCTTTCTACTTGTTCTTCTCCATAATTGTCAGCTTCTTTGTTCTAACCAAGCAAGATAATCCATGTCCATATCCATGTTACCCTCCGCCAACAGGCACCGGAGGCGGCGGTGTCACTCAAACACCTCCGGTTAGTAGTTACCCACCACCTTCACAAACAGGACTATACCCTCCACCAGTTACGTCCTACCCTACACCAACAGGGAATTTACCATATTACGTCCCCCCACCTCCTTATGGTAATTCTTTATATGGTCAGCCACCTCCTGATGCTGTCTTGCCTTATTTTCCATACTACTATAGAAAACCTCCTCATGAAACAGATGATCAGTCATCAGCAACAAAAGGTAGTCCTGGAAAATCATTGATCACAATGATTGCAACCACAAATCTTCTTGTATTTATTTTTCTAGTTGTTTGTAGTTTATGGAATTACTAGCTAGTGAAAAAATTGCGTAAAATATTTATGTTTAATTAGCCACGCATGTCAATTTCTATGATGTTTCATTGAGAGGAATTAAAAAAGAGTTTGGGATCCAATTGCGATGCTTTCAGTTGCTGAAAAAAGGTGTAGAAATGGTGATGAAGTGAAAGACAAAGGAATCAAAGAGGTGGTGGGGGTGGTCCAGGCATTTATTCCTTTGTTTGGTAATGGATGAGATGAGTGTGTTTATTTTTGTTTCCACATTTTAATAATCCTGTTCGTCTTAATTCTTCTGATTAGAATTTTGCTAATCCACTTGATCGCATCATCTATTTTGGATGAGTTCAAAATGGACTATATATACTGGAACTTTAAGCAATAAGTAAAAGGGAACTTTCTTGATTCCAAGTATTCTTTGTCAAATTTTTTTATTAAAATTCTTGAAACAAACAAAAAAAAAAATCCATTTAGCCTGACCTGATTTTACACTCTTTTTACACTAGATTTCTCTTTATATAGGCGAATTGCAGAGGTCTTTACTGGTTTTAGATACAATCCCAATTCAAACGAGTAATGTCTTTTAACAGAAAAATTATCCATCCAAATATGACCTGACAATGAAGCAAATATATATATATATATATATCAGTAACACTGTTGATTTGTTTGATTAGGTTTAGGGTTGTTGATATTCGATAGCAATTATTGCTGAAATTCTCTAAGCAGATCAGGGCATTACAATCAAATTGCTGACTTTATTACTTTTTGTAAAAAAGTAAATGATAATGGAGGGAGACTTTCTGAGTGTTAGTCTTTTGGACTTTAAAAATAAAAAAGATAAAAAAGAAAGAGAGATTTTTTATACCAACACATGGAAATCATATGTCACGGTCTTTCAATCCTAATTCATAAGATTGCATTTGATAATTTGGATTTTAAGGCAGGGATTTGAATTTTAAAATTAATGTAAACTATTTTATAAAGTGCGTGTAAATAATAATTATATGATTATTTTTCAAATTCATATATTTGTCGAGGGCTAAAGTGCAATGATTTGTGAGTAAAAGAAACATTTCCCTTCTGTTACCAACTCCTTGCTAAATGGACTTCAGAAATTTTCCATTGCATATAGATATATAGTTATGTACCGAGGTTTTCTCTTATCAACAATCTATTATTGGCGCCTTGCCACTTCTCTACTACTGCATGAAATATGAATTTCAATGTAACCTAACACCATCAATACAGTTTAATTCAATTTGCATCCAAGGCAATGCATGATTAAATTTGAGGATACCTCTGTTGGCTGCTTAGGCCGAAGATGGTACACCATGGCAGATCATTTCAGGAAGCCATAACTGCCAAACGATCCATCCCAGAACTACTGGCAATTGCCACACTTTTCATATTCTTTCTCACCAGCTCTCTGCTATGTCTCTGGCCCCCCACTTTCGGCCTGCCACCAATGTTGTGATCTTTTACAACCTTATCACTTTCTGATGTTCGATGTTTTGGCAAATTACTGCCCACTTTCTATCGCTCTTTCTTTGAAAGGACCACATTTTGTGTCACAGATCCAGGGGAGCTGTGACTATCAGTTGGTGGAGTCAAAAGATATGGTGCCAGCTTGAGATGACTCAACTGTAGGAAAATTCCGCTCACCTACAGATCCACCAGCTGAACGGACCTGTTTATTTGCTTCCCTGGAGAGTGATGGTGATCTTGGAGTTGCTCTCATCCCAGGACTTGCTGATTTCTGTCTTTACTTTAGCTGGTTTCATGCTAGATAATGCAGCCTGTAGTAGAATTGGAAGCAAGTCAATATTAAATCTATTGACAAAAATAAAAATTGTGGGACTGGATTATCATAGCACAATTAATCACGGGAAAAGTTAGCAATATATACAGGTCCAATAATAAGGTTTCAAGCCCAACTTCCCATCAAAGAAGTAAATGCAAATTAAGCATCTTATATCATATACTGTATCATACACTGGAGCTGGCATATGGCCATATATATATATATATATATACTGGAGTGTTAGGTAAAATCAAGTATTGGTTTGAATTTTGAAAGGAAAATTTCATGCATGAATATTAAACCATATATATATATATATATATATATATATATATATATATATATATATATACTGGAGTGTTAGGTAAAATCAAGTATTGGTTTGAATTTTGAAAGGAAAATTTCATGCATGAATATTAAACCATATAGAATGTATTTCAGTGTGCTTAGATGTTAAAACCATTTAAAAAATGTATTACACATTTTCCATCACTCTTGGAGCAATTCAAAGCTCTAGTAGCATTCAGTAGCAATACATTGTCCATGGTTACAAACACACTTGGGAAGATCAAATAAATGCACCCTCTGTCATTGAGAGATTAAGAACAAGGATTAAAGTACTAGTGCTCACTCAGCCAAGTTCAATTCTGATTCTCACATACCATATAAGAATGGTCTAAAATCAAGGTAGTTTACTAAAATCAACACAAGACATCCAGTAGAAACATGAAGAAAATAGTTTCGCAAACAAAACACCAAAGATCCAAAAACCTATAACAATTGTGCAAATAACAAAATGTAAATGCTCGATCTTTTAATACTATTGCTTCATATAATTTAATAGATTATTCCGCATGCAATGTCAAAAATAATACGCTTTTAAGATAATTACATAAGAAATGAAGAAGAGTAACTAAAGCTATTCTAATAGAGTATGATTACATATGAGCCGACATAAGTACCTCCAAGTTAGAAATGCACTCATAAGTGCATGCTTTTCTGTGTTGTAAACTTATTACATCTGAAGACATACGAACACCATTATAAAATCAAGCAATAGCTGTGCTTCTAATGTACCTTGTTTCCAGTAGACCCTGGTTTCGTGGTAACATGATAGAAAGAAGGCATGGGTTTTGTTTTGAACTTAAGGCTTTTCCACAATTGCTTAATCTCAGACTCTGTCTTTTCCTGCAATAACAGTGACCAAAGCATTCAATTTATTTATAAATTGAGTAACCCATTAATCCAGAAATTTCAGAGCATTCAGCAGCACTTCATTTCATCTTCCTTAGTTGAATTGACTGTCTGCTTAAGCCTGCACAAAAGAATACTCTACATTAAGGTTTAAAAGTCAAAATTTTGATGACATAAAGCAATACCCATGATGTTGCTACACCCCTGTTTGGTGTCTGGCGAGCAACAGGTCCAATCTTCTTGGGTGAAGAAGGTTGAGCTTCAATTGCTTTCTTTATCATTGGTCCTTTCATACTGTCACAAGAATGAAATAATCATTTGAAATGTCCCTACGAGTGAAACATATATATGCTTAAAATGCAAGAAATACTAAGTACCTGGACAAGAAAGAACATGAAAAAGGAAATTCAAATAGCAGCATTAAGTCCTAATAGAAATACTAAAGAGAAATATACTAAAGGAAATTCAAATTTTCAAAGTTTTAATGCTTCTAAAACAAAGAGCATTCAAAGATGTTGAGATTTGTAAGATCTCTGGGTATAATCCCTAATATCTTCGGGCATAATCTCTAAAACCTCAAAGCATAATTTATACAACTTCTAAGCAAACCATTTAAAAGTTGTTGAGCCTTTACTCAGAGAAAACTTTTTAAATTTTCAAAAGTTGTCGAGTCTTTACTTAGAGAAGTTTTTTTAAATTTTCAAAAAATTGTCGAACCTATGCTTAGATGAGTCCTCGTTCAAGATGAGAATTTTTAAAGTTGTTGAGCATCAACAGAGAGGAGTTTTTTATGCCAAGATTCGTAAGTTTTTCGGGCATAATTCGTAAGTCTTTCAAGCTGAATCTGTTTTAGTTTCAAAATTTGTAAAACTTCTAAACATGATCTCTTATTTTATTTTCAAAAGTTGTTGACTCTTTGAAAAAAAAATTGAAGATTTTGAATCGTTACTCTAGACAAAATTGTTGTCTATTTCTTTGTCCTATTCCTAATTCTCAATAATACGTAAAGAATGGCAACTATAGATACTAAATTTTATCTGAATTTTTTCGGTAAACCAAATTGAGTTTCAATTTTAAATTTACCGATTTTATCAAGTTCGCGGGCATAAGCTTGATTTCTTTTTTTGGGCCTAGGCCCACTATTTTATTTTTACTTTTACTTTATTATTTATGTTAGAATACAATTATATAAAATAATATTAATTAATTAAACATTAAACAAAAAAAATAAAAAACAAAAAACATAAAAAAAAGAGCAAGTGGGTTGGTGACAATGGGTGTCGTGCATGGCACCGCTACCACCCACCCGTCTGACCACCAACCACCTACCTTGAACCCTCTGAGCCCTGGAACCACTTCCCTAAGCCATTACTTAACCTTAGCAGAAAACATACCTTGCCAAACATCTACCCTCTGCCAACATACCTACCACGACCACCTTGACAATGGTGTCGCAACTGAAGCTTTACAAATAGAGCTCCATAAACCCTAAAAAAGAAAAAAAAAAGAAAAAGGAAAACTCTACTCTAAAAACTTTGCCTAAAAAGACCCTGCTAAAAAACTATGAGGAAACTTTTCAAAAAAAAAAAGGAAACCGAAAGCCATTGTCAAAAAATTTGCAACCAAAACGAAAAGCAAAAGAAAAAAAGATCCCACACCAAAAAAAAAAAAAAATAAACAAAAATATCATAGCCCCTATAACAAGGATTCAACGCCAATATCAAGAAGGATAATAGAGAAAACAAAAAATAAAATAAGGAAAAAAATTTTAGGCTTTTTTCTTTGGGAGAAGTTGAAAAGTTTAGGCTTAGATCTAAGCTGTCTGGGACTCTCTTTGGTGAAAAAGAGGCCAGATCTATAAAGAGGAGGGAAAGAAGAAGATTTAGGTTTTTTAGGGTTTTGGGTGACTGGCACAGCAATTAGCGACCACTAATGGCAAAATAGGCGGCTGTCATAACGTCTAGATCCGGGGATCTATCGCTAGACATTGACTTTTTGGGAGTCGCCACCAATCTTTTTTGTCTAGGTGCGATTGGCCATCTATGGAATCTGTCCTTTTAGGGAACACCTAAGTTTAAGGGTCCCTAGAAGAATAGGTTCAGGTTTACAAACCAGAACAGGGTTCGGGAGTTCGGTTACGTGTGAGGAAGGTTATAGCACCCTTACAACGCCTATCAAAAGATGGTACCAGCTTAAATTTGTGTTATCTAAAAGCCTTAAAATTTTACCAAGTAATTAATTATTGAAAATTTTCTCAATTGACTCTAATACTTTTAGCAGAAAATTGAGAAAATTTCCTCACCTCAAGAGTATGCAAGAAAAAATACTGTTTCACTTGCAGAGGCTCCGTTTTCGGATTAGTTAAAGAAAAATCAAAATCAAAATCAAAAT